CATATCCAAAAAACATCTGTTACAGATTTTATCTTTAAATTTCCTGAGTCAGTCACAGTACAAAGAGATACCTTCTGATTCCAAGAAAGGTCCTCTTGTCAGGGAAATATTGCCCAGAATATGAACACTTTGGTGCACAATTGCATTTCCAAAACAAATCCCCAAAATCATTACAAAATTGTTCTTCAAACTTAGGACATAATTATAGTAAAACACATAACAGAAGGGTGTCTTTTGGTATTTCACCTTTCTGATTCAAACAATTGTTTTCATGCAAACATCAGCGTATCAATATTATAACCTGAAAAGCTATATTTGCTGTATCCAGCATTTACTGAACAGCAACATAAAACTCTTTCCCTGTACATTTAAAATGATTAAGCATGCTTTTCTCCACCGGCTACACATATTTTAATATATATATATGTCTTACATAAGCAGGGACCTATACATTGTAATACATTGATCTCTGACATAAGAAATTATCTCCCACTGCACTATTACTCCATGGTCATTCCTTACCTTCTTAAACACAAATTGAGAAAAAGATGTATAGTGAAATGAAGCTTATAGCAGGTAATCTAGGATGCGTTTGATTTCAGAACACCGGGGGTGGAGTCGGTGTGGGGCTAGCACCATGTGGTCAAGGTAATGGTCAGTCTGAACACCAATAAGATGAAGTAGGGGATGGGGGACATGTTTTATATAACATGCAATGCCATCTATTTCTGATTGCTTAAATGATTATCCAGAATATTGTAGTTTGTACAGATTGTTTTTCTGTGAACATTATTGTCAGGATTAAAATGGGTTACTGACAGAATGAATTTATACAAAAAGACTATATGGAGTCGATATGTATCTACTATAGTCATAGTGTGTTTGGTAGCAGACATTTTACATCCTTCGTGTAAATGGCTATATAGATTTGAAATATAAGCTGTTGTCATGGTGATCATACTTTAAACGTTGACTAGAATCAGTTTGTCTTTGAAGAGGCTTCAGATGTTTCAGAGAGATAGGAGAAAAACCTGATACCACAGTCATCATTATACCCTCATCCTCATTTCTAGGTTGAAAAATTCCTGTCTTGTAATCTTTTTCAAAAAAATGTTTAAAGGCTACATATATACTGTGTCATTTACATAAAAATGTAGTGACGTACAAAATTATGTTAATTTGTGATACAAGTTGTACTAAGCTGGTGGCTGTGTTAGAATTGGATTGAAAATCATGAATATATATAATTTTCATCATTAAGCTTAAAAAAAAGTTAAACAAAATTATGTAAAGCACATTATAATATATAGGCGATGGAGTTAAGAAACAATTTTTGTCAACAACAAGTTTTTATAGATAAACTAAATGATATTACCCGGGTAAAGCAAGTACACATTTCCCCTCCCCAAACCCTAAACTAAATGATACATCTAGCAAGTACGCATTCCCCCTCCCCTCACACCCCAACACGCGTCTTCCCCAAAAAACCCCAAAAAAACTGAGGGGGAAATATTGTTGAGTACATAAATCAGGTGTTTTATCATTTAGATGGAAGTATCATTGACACCAATCTCCTGCCAGGTCCATCTACTATCAGATGGCAATATTAGTTTTCAAAGTAACTGGCCTCTGATGATAATGATAGAGTTTATGACAAACACATGTCCCAGCCTTCTCCCCTGTCAAGTTCTAGGTTCACAGAGAGGGTGTCGTGTAGCCAAGACAAGGGCACAACAGGTCTACATAGGGGGATCAGTTTCAGCAGCAGTCCAAGTCGCCATGGCAATAAGATTGTCAAAGCAGGGAGGGACAATTCTGTAGACATGTATATGCTGGGAGGAAAGAGAGCTGGTTATAATGTGTCTCTATGTGGGGCCAAATCACCATGGTGATACGTTTGTCAAAGCAGGGAGGGACAGTGTAAGATATATATGTGTGTTGTGTTGGGGAGGGGGATAATGAAGGAAAGGCCAAGTCACCATGGTGATGGGACTTGTCAAAGCAGGGAGGGACAGTTCTGTGGGAGTTAGGAGCAGTATAAAGCAGCACTCTGTGGGTGTCCCCCCTCCTGGCCACATGATAATTAGGAACTTCCCCCTCTCAGCTTTTGGGACCATCAAGATAAACACCCTCTCCACAGGGCCCAGATTGTGTGTGTTAGTGGCTGGCCAGTCAGCTGGTCCTACTCGTCCTGGGCACATCACATATGTTATAAATGTGACGATATATACAGACCGACTTTCTCCAGAGTTACCTTAGGGACTGTAGGCACTGTAATATCACCAGTTTATATTCTTTAACAAAGGGATTTACTTCTCACAGACCTCACAGGTAATCGTTAATTGTCAGTTATGATTACTGAAGAACAAATTTAATTATGTTTGTTTTTATTTACATTTTCAAAATATTTCAGTTAAGAGAAAGAGAATTCAATTATTCTTCATTTCATCAAAGTTTTAATTTTGTCATCTTTAGTGTTTAATTTGGTCTGGCAGGTAAACTAAATCAGCAACTATCTTTTTGGTTGGTTTTCAGAATAAATCGGATACTACATGTTTTTTGTATACAGATTTATATATTATAACTTCAAACAGCTACAGGTACAATTTTTGTTCCTCTATCAAAATTTCATGTCACGCTTTGACACTGAAATATTTTGATTTTTTTTTGTCATCAAAACTGTTTCCTGGATTTTTGTGTAGATGTGTTTATATATTTGAGAAATGCATCACAACATTCAAAAGAATAAGATTTTTTCCCCAAAGCTGCATGTAACATTTCATTATATCAGAAAGATTAAATGTCATGGCAATGAGACACTAATACATTTTTGTCATCTTATTGTTAAAGCTTGTTTTTGCATGACAAGGCACTCGCCAGGCTCTGTATCTCCAAACAGGTGATTCATTTCTAGCCGCACAGGTAAACACGTATTGTCATCAAAAGATATTTTTGTCATCGTGCCATAGAACAGAACAGACGCTACTCACTAGATCATTGATTTGTTCCTGTACAGGTAACCAGTTTTGTCAGGAAAGGGACTTAGCAGAGAAAAGTTTGATCCTATTTTAGTATTTTTCTTTTATGTGATTTTTTTTTTGTACAGATGATTGTGTCATTAACGAGGTTTACCCGGACTCTACCTGATGTGTCATTACCTGTCATGATAAAACATATCACACAATTTCTGTCGAGCACCATCATAACATGCTTACACTATTGCTCCTGAAGTATTTATAAAAGCTCTTTCCCATTGGCCATAGTATACATACTTAGTTTGTCTTGTATGATTTTATTATTTCATTTGGTTATGATTTTTTTTCAATGTTTTAATTGTATATTTATAAATATTTTCATAAGTAGGCCAAAAAAATGAATTGTGTTCTCTGGTTTCCTTACTAACCTCCCCAAAGGTGTTTGTACCAATTTTAGACAATTACTGTTAAGAGTCAAGCATCTGCTCTATATAATCTATGTACATCCATAGAATAAAATAATATTTCCCTACCTTTATTTGGACCATAGGCTTTTTAGAGAGTGACACCAGAAAAACACAATTATTTGTTATGGCTTATTAAAGAAAACATTAATTTGAGGATAGCTGATGTACTTTCTCTTGATTGACCAATTTAACAGTGAGCATTCCTATTAGGTTGGTTTGTCATTGTAAAGTATTGACATAATGGCACAGAATGTATTTAATACAACAGAATATGTCCTTAATGTTTCTGCTTTGTTCTGATATATGTATGTATTCCATGCTTATCGCCATGACAATGGGATGCTGACTTTGAGGCTTGACAGCCTCTGGACCAGGCCCCTCTGTGTTACTGGGAACAGCAATAAAGTAATGGCCCAGTACATGCTGTCATTCCTTGGAGACTCTGAGACAGCCAGTTTTTCTGGGGTTGACTTCTTTGTCTTATCAGTCCTGGATATCAATTGATCGGGACTGTAAGTCCAGAATGTTCAATGTACCGATTACTAAGAGTCATTGGTACGGCTGCTGGGACAGGTCCCCAGAGGCATATAACACTGGTAGCCCCTTATACATGGCACACAGGGGCATGACAAAGACACTACTTTCTTAACTAATACCTTCCCTAATTAATAATTAATGTTAATTGGATTATTTGCGTGTAGTTGTCTTTTGACTCTTGGCTAAAGACCAAGTAAATAATTGATTAGACCGGGGACCGCAGAATAAAGTACTATACAATATGACCATGTGAGTTTCATTGTCGTTTTTGGGATAGTTTGGCCACAGTAAGATTGGTATGGTCACTATGATAGTGATGTTCCCAATGGAGCCATAATGCCAAGTCTGACTACCATTTCTCTAATATATACAATATCCCGAGAATTGTCAGATCAAGGACCATAAAAGTTAGAGCTGTATCACAGGACTGGGGAAGGGACACTTTATCATAAGTCCGGGGGGCCACATGGTTGGGACTTTCAGAGGACAGGAGTTACTGGAGCGGGACATAGCCAAAAGTTGGTGTCTTGCCTATCAGTGTAAACAGCAGGACCGAGGGCAGTGATCACTACAGATATGTGCTGGAAGGTATGATCACAGATCTGAAGTCGTCAGGCATGGCACAAGCTCTGGCAACTGGGGATAGCTAAATGTACGTCAGGCACAGATACCATGGAGAGATAAACAAGAAACATCCACATAATCCAGTGGTACCGTCACAACTGAGATAGAGGTACGGAGGCTGTACGGCAGTGCCAGTCCTCCCCCTACCCACGTCTCATCCCTCCCCCAACGAAAAGTCCCCTCGTATGTTTGCTGTCAGAGAGGGGGCTGTTTAGAAGATAGGAGCGTGTCTGTGATGTGTGCACTGTGTTGTGAGAAGTCCAGCTTCCCCTTCCATATCCCCCTAGCACTGTGCCCTGTGAGCGAGTTTTGCGGTGCTGTGTTTTGTCGACTCCACTTGTGCCTCCTCAGTCTAAATTTGGCATCACACAAGTGTTCCTCTTTTCTCCCAACACAGGAGTCAGTCCTTCAGAACCACACCGCCACTCAAGGAACATCACCGCCATCACAGTTCCGTCCTCCACCAACCCTCGGGACCCCAACGACCCTCACCACCCCCACCGCTGCCACCCGAACAGCGGGCGTCCCCTGAAGTTGAACTTTGACCTCTCCACCCTGGGGACAGTCACCTGGAATGGTGATTCCACTCAAGGCATGAAACCGCTGGAGGTAAACAACTTTTATTTACTTTTTGTTGTTTTGTCACTTTTATATCCACAGCAGGAAGTTGTCAAAGTTTTTATTTCAGAATGTTGAAAATTGGGGACTGTCATCTGATAAAGAAGTTTATTACATTTCCACAAATTTTAAGTTAACAATTTTATTTTAATTTTGTTTTGAGCAATTTTTTAATTTCTACTCAACACAACAAAAAGTTACAAAGTTTTATATGTGAGGACAGTCAACTGGTCACAATTTTTTGAAGAAATTACGTTTTTTCTTCTTAAATTCTGTTTTTCGTACCCAATGGTACCAGAAGTTATATTTTGAAATTTGTTTTGAGAAGTTTTAAAGAAAAAAATATATATTGAGGACAGTCAACTATTTTTTAATTTCTATTTTTTCTAGATCCTATTTAGGATAACAAAATTCTTGACCTAATTTTAATGTGTATTTTAATTTTTATTTTTATTTATTTTCCCTGTTTAACACAACAGAATTAACAATTCTATTGAGAAAATTGTCAACAATCAGATTGGGGACAGTCACATAGAATGGTGATTTAGAAAGGAGACAAACAAACAACTATTTATTTGTTGTCTGGTGATTTGTGGTGTTTATCCTACTCAACAACAGGAAGTTATATTGATGTTGTTAATTATAACTGCAGAAAAATAAATCTATTGACTATATCAACCTTCAGCCTTCCCTGACCACATCCCATGGCTGGGCCGTCCATCTTCCTTCTGACATCCTGCAGAAAATTAAGATGATTTTCTTGAGGAAAAAGTTCATTGAATTTCTACTTTATTTGCCATGTGAATTTTATTGGAGGCCTGTAGAGACACTAGGTGTCCCTTCGCTTTGCAACACACATGCATTGATTTTGTAGTGATATTTGTCATCTAAGACAGCCCGTGGAAGAAAATTTATATCCCGTATTATGATTTCCATCCCGAGACTTTTTTAGATTTTGAATTTGACTTTGAATACTTGGCTGTGTTTCTGGGGAGTGACACGGTAGACACTCGGCAATCTCTCTACACCAGTGGAATGTCTATTTATAGAAACATGTGATCTTCTCCATTCACTAAGCACCAACGGTAGCATGCGCATCCTCCGGAGGCCATCATAAGGGGGAAATCTAAAATTTTGACATCTCTTCCTTCATATATTTTGATAAATATTTCTTTACTTTTGTTTTCAGATTTTTAGAATTATTTATACTTAATATTACTTCAAATTCATATAAACATGGAGTGACTGAGTTTCTAGAAGGAAGTTTGAAAGAGTTTTGAAATCTTCTGTGGGTTGCCTGTGGTGACATTTTAGCCTCCATCTTGGTTTTAATCGTTCTTCAGTCACCAAGCCTATAAATTTGAAAGCTTGCCAGTTACATGTAGGTTTTGTGTATGTAACTGATTTATGGGGTGTATTCAACACCAAGGCATTCTTTGTTTTACTTCTGATGTAGAAAGTCAGGCACTTTGTGACCAAGGCTGATGCTTGAAGACAAGTTATCATTGTATGAGAAGTAGGTAGCTCTTGTGTTCTCATAATAAAGTGTTATTGTTTGTTAATAAGGGAAGCTATCCAGTAGCCTCGGGGATACTTATTTCTTTGGTTACCTAAAAGATCATTATTTATTTCTCTGGTTAACTAACAGATAGATACTTATTTCTTTGGTTAGTTTACAGATAAATACATATTTCTTTGGGTTTCCTACCGGACAATTACTAATTTCTTTGGTTACCTAACAGATATTTTAAATATCTTTGGTTACCCTATGGATGTTTACTTATAAACTCCTCAATGAGAAATAATTATTTCATTCCCTGAGGAGTAATTACATTTATTCCCTGACTAACAGATAATTACTTATATCTTTGATTACATTAGGGATAGTTACTTATCTTAGTCATAATATCTAATTACTTCACTAATCCTAGGGATAGTTACTTATACATAATGGTTACCATAAGAATAGTTACTTATACATAATGGTTACCATAGGGATATTTACTTACATTAAGTGGTTACCATAGGGATAGTTACTTATATTTAATGGTTACCATAGGGATATAGTTACTTATATTTAATGGTTACCATAGGAATAGTTACGTATACATAATGGTTACCATAGGGATAGTTATTTATACATATTGGTTACCATAGGGATAGTTACTTATACATAATGGTTACCATAGGAATAGTTACTTATACTTAATGGTTACCGTAGGGATAGTTATTTATACATATTGGTTACCATAGGAATAGTTACTTATACATAATGGTTACCATAGGAATAGTTACTTATACATAATGGTTTCCATAGGGATAGTTACTTATACATAATGGTTACCATAGGGATAGTTATTTATACATACTGGGTACCATAGGGATAGTTATTTATACATACTGGTTACCATCGGAATAGTTACTTATATTTAATGGTTACCATAGTAATAGTTACTTATACATAATAGTTACCATAGGGATAGTTATTTATACATAATGGTTACCATAGGGATAGTTACTTATATTTAATGGTTACCATAGGAATAGTTACTTATACATAATAGTTACCATAGGGATAGTTATTTATACATACTGGTTACCATAGGGATAGTTATTTATACATACTGGTTACCATAGGAATAGTTGCTTATATTTAATGGTTACCATAGGGAAAGTTATTTATACCTACTGGTTACCATAGGGATAGTTACTTATATTTAATGGTTACCATAGGAATAGTTACTTATACATACTGGTTACCATAGGGATAGTTATTTAAACATACTGGTTACCATAGGGATAGTTACTTATACATAATGGTTACCATATGGATAGTTATTTTTACCTACTGGTTACCATAGGAATAGGTACTTATACATAAAAGTTACCATAGGGATAGTTATTTAAACATACTGGTTCCCATAGGGATAGTTACTTATATTTAATGGTTACCATAGGAATCGTTACTTATACATAAAAGTTACCATAGGGATATTTATTTATGCATACTGGTTACCAGAGGAATAGTTACTTATACATCCTGGTTACCATAGGGATAGTTACTTATATTTAATGGTTACCATAGGAATAGTTACTTATACATAAAAGTTACCATAGGGATAGTTATTTATGCATACTGGTTACCATAGGAATAGTTACTTATACATACTGGTTACCATAGGGATAGTTATTTATACCTACTGGTTACCATAGGAATAGTTACTTATATTTAATGGTTACCATAGGGAAAGTTATTTATACCTACTGGTTACCATAGGGATAGTTACTTATATTTAATGGTTACCATAGGGATAGTTATTTATACCTACTGGTTACCATAGGGATAGTTATTTATACCTACTGGTTACCATAGGAATAGTTACTTATATTTAATGGTTACCATAGTAATAGTTACGTATACATAATGGTTGTTTTTCTTAATTTATTTTCTATCATCAATTTGTCTCGATAATTCAATTTTATCAAACACCATTTTTATATATTTTTATTGATAAGTCAATAAGTACTCTTTAAGACACAATACCAACATTCAGAGGTGTACAAAATTAATAGCACGACGACCAGGCACTCTGGTGTTTGGCTAGCGCCATTACATGATTTGAATAGGCCTATATACCGTACTATGAAGAAATTCGAGTTTACAAGGCTTAATTAACACAAAACCATTGTCTTAATCATACAAAAACAACACAACAACTTATCTGTATGCAGGTTGCAAGCATTATGAGCAAGAGACATGTTTTTATGAAAAAAATATCAATTTAAAAATGATTTTACCTCTCTGTTACAACTCATAAATGTATTTTAAAATGTTTTCATAATTTGCTACTTCAGTACAGACTATAGATATAATGGATTTGGTACAAGCAAGATGTTTCGTTTTACATTGAACTCTGCAAAATACACAACCGGTTAAAAAACGAAACCATGCATAAGATATGGTGTTCTTTCAGCAGCAGAACGATGTTTTGTTTTAAGTTAAGCCATCTAGATATCTTGATATTTTGTTATGTTTACATCATATTCCATATTCATCTTTAATTCACTCATGAATACATAATTCTTTATATAAAAAAACAATACAGAATCACAGTACTTGTCACTACATGCTATTTACTATTGTGCCTAAATCAGAAACATAGTTATTTGTAGTATCTAAATTTGGGTTTATGTTGTTTTGGTTCCATTTAGCTAATTTGCTTATGTCAGAGACAAAAATTGACATACATTGTTTTTGAGATGGAGACAAAATTAGGGAGGGGGCTTAATTGCAGGCACCCACCCTGTTCCCAGGATATTTATCAAAGTGGGGAGGGGGCTTATTTGCGAGAGGGGGCTTATTGGCGGTAAAATATGGTACTCTCAACTTCAAGTAGCTTATCCTCTGATGTGTCAAAATACTGTTTATTTCTTAAATGACTAGATGATATGGAAAGAGGATAAACTGTTTATTTAATCAATAATAAATACCCTATCCTCTACTGTCAAATTAGGCTTTAGCTTAAACGAATACAATCTCCTGGTCCTATACCTGTTACCTAACCTCTACCTGTCAAGGTAGACTATACACATACAATCCCCTGGTCCTATACCTGTTACCTCTCCTCTACTTGTCAAGGTAGACTGTACACATACAATCCCCTGGTCCTATACCTGTTACCTAACCTCTACTTGTCAAGGTAGACTGTACACATACAATCCCCTGGTCCTATACCTGTTACCTAACCTCTACTTGTCAAGGTAGACTATACACATACAATCCCCTGGTCCCATACCCTGTATCTGTCCAATATATCCCAGTGAGGGTCCTAGTAACTTGAGGCGTGCTGGACCAGCCTTATCTGTGGGAGTGTGAGGGGATATGATGGCCCATGCTGTGTCCCACATCATCAGAGCTATTACACAGCTCCATCAGGATTTATCTTGTCTTCTGGCTGCTTCACCTTTCACAGTATCTACACGTCATACAG